GGTGAGGTAAATTGTTTTCCTTTTGTAGTAGTGAAGCCAGTTACAGAACTTGGTGAGGTAAATTGTTTTCCTTTTGTAGTAGTGAAGCCAGTTACAGAACTTGGTGAGGTAAATTGTTTTCCTTTTGTAGTAGTGAAGCCAGTTACAGAACTAGGTGTGGTAAATTGTTTTCCTTTTGTAGTAGTGAAGCCAGTTACAGAACTTGGTGAGGTAAATTGTTTTCCTTTTGTAGTAGTGAAGCCAGTTACAGAACTTGGTGAGGTAAATTGTTCTCCTTCTGAAGTAGTGGAGCCAGTTACAGAACTTGGTGAGGTAATTTGTTTTCCTTTTGAAGTAGTGAAGCCAGTTACAGAACTTGGTGAGGTAAATTGTTCTCCTTCTGAAGTAGTGAAGCCAGTTACAGAACTTGGTGAAGTAAACTGTTTTCCTTCTTCAAAGTTTTCTTCAAATAATTACATTTGGAAAGAATACCTATTTTTAATTTTTGCATGTACTTGGGAGTTCTATGCTTTTATTACATGCATACAAGTAACTCGCTGTTAGTTATATAATCTTCTGTCTACTAAATGAGTCAGTATAACTTGTTTTGCAGCATTTAAAAAACAAAAATGATAAAACTTTATGCTTAAATAAATACTTAATTCAGCAAAATATAGGCTTGGTGGTTTGAGTGCTCGACTAGCAACGTGTGAGTCATGTATTCAAGACCCAGTGCCAAACATGCTCTCTCTATCAGCTCTGAGGGCAATATAATGTGATGGTAAAAAGTGGCCCAAGAGTTGATGGTGGATGCTGCCAAATGGTTATCTATTAGGGACAGATAGTCTTAGTGGCTTTGCCATAAACAAGCAAACAGATTGAGCAAAACTTGTTAAAGTGTAAAATATATTTCTGTTTGAAAGTTTAACTAAGTGTTATTAAAAGTATCATTCTTTCTCACTGTAAGATGAACTTCAGATTGTCATCGTACAAACTCAAATAAAACTTATTCGATAGATTTCAAAGTAAACTTGTAAGGAATGGTGAGAGCATCTAATCTGTGACAGTGTTTTCTTACTCCAGTATGTAAAACTATTCATTACCATTTCATATAACTATTTAATTACTATTTAGAAGTAGAGGTGTAACGAAAATTTATATAATAATAGTAGTTCACTGGTTCTACTGTTGTATGTTGTTTTAGACGAGTAGGATTAAGATTTTGAATCTTAACTTATGTGAAAACATTACATAATGATCTTTTGTACTTTTTTAAAGTGTGCTTCGGAATACCTGTAAAGTATTTAAATTTTTTCTCCTCAAAGAAATAAGGTCTACCTTTTGAATCTGTCAACGTTTACCTAATTCCTCGAATTGTGTTTTTCAAGCGTCAGGAACGAAGTACATTTTAAAACTCTCACGCTACAGTATATTGGAAGAAATTTTACACATGAGTAATACGTTTAATTATACCAGGCTGATTTGTTTTAATGTTCCCATTTACTAATCATAATATTTACCAAAGTAAAGTATCTCTTCACTCTAGATTCACAAGCTCTGGACCAAAACCGTATCGCTTGTAAGTAAACTGAAGAAACGAAGATCTGAATTAGACAGTAAAAGTTCTGATCATCTTTGTGCTTTTGAGGTTTTTCTGCTCCATTTGGGGTTGCAGCTGTTTTTGGACAGTAAACGAACAACTGAGCCTTTGGAGGTAGGTTCCCTTTAATGCAAATAGATGATAAGTCATTCAACGTTGGTTGTCGTATCAAAGAAAAACAACCTTGTATATCAAAATCCACTTCAGCTTATTACTAAAAATCAAAACATTTTGAGTAAAGCTAAATTTTTGGATAAAATAACCAAACCACTATAGCTGAATTGAATTTAGATTATACAACTATTTATAAAGATTTAAATACACCAGAGAAGTCGCCTACGTGTCTGTTCTTGACGTGTACAAAATAACCAAACCACTGAATGCAAGTCCATCATAAGATTTGCCATTGTTTCTAGATATTGTGAATTTAAGCAACTATTGTAGGTGAACTTTCAAAGAAAGTTTGAGGCGTGTCTGGAGACAATATTTTTGACACCGTGCCGAGTTCTTCGTGAGGTTTGGACCTAATGAACTTAGTAAAGAACCTGATATGTTGTCTCTAAAACTAAACAGAATCGGGAGAAATTCGTATTCCACATTGAAAATTAAATTGTTTAGAAGTCTTGTTGCTATGACAGTGAAGAGAAAAACCATGTCACTTAAAGAGCATCGAGATAAAAATTTGGGTTACCAGTAATGATTGGGTCCACTGATTGCAATGTTTCTGTCTGAGTTTGGTAATCATTAAAGCTTGATGTGTGAAGTAATTGCTGTTAAGGCTTTCTGATATTAATGGCCAGGTGGTTGGGACACTCGAATCGCAATCTGAGGGTCGCGGGTTAGAGTCTCCGTTCCATCAAACATGCTCACTCTTTCAGCTGTGGGGGTGTTATAATGTGCGGTCAATCCCACTATCCGCTGGTAAAAGAGTAGCCTAAGAGTTGGCGGTGGGTGGTGATGACTAGCTGCCTTCACTGTAGTCTTACACTGCTAAATTAGGGACGGCTAGCGCAAATAGACCTCATGTAGCTTTGCACAAAATTCAGAACAAACAATCAAACAATCTGATATTAATGATATACAAGGTAATAAATTCTGAACAAAAGTCACCAATTTTTACCACTATTCTAATAGCTTGTCTAGCCTAAATATCTCGCCTACTATTACTAATTGCCATTATATGTACCTTAAAAGAGGTTCTTATCCTGCGTGGAACATTTGTAGACAAAGTAGTAACTTCCTCATGTTTGTAGGCTAATATACATGTAAATGTTTACAGAAATTATGCGAGTATTTTAGAAAGAACTGAGACGAGAATGTTAAAATGGATTCTGGGAATATCTTTGAGAGAAAGAATAATGACTGATAACATCAGAGAAAGAGTTGGAGTTTGTAAGATCAGAAGAGAAACAAGACTGAGATGGTTTGAACATCTAACAAGTGAAGAAGGATATGCAGTGAGAAGGGTATCGGAAATGTCAGAAGAAGACAGTGGAGATGAGACAGGAAGACTGAGATGGTTTGAACATCTAACAAGTGAAGAAGAATATGCAGTGAGAAGGGTATTGGAAGTGTCAGAGGAAGACAGTGGAGATGAGACAGGAAGACTGAGATGGTTTGAACATCTAACAAGTGAAGAAGGATATGCAGTGAGAAGGGTATTGGAAATGTCAGAGGAAGACAGTGGAGATGAGACAGGAAGACTGAGATGGTTTGAACATCTAACAAGTGAAGAAGGATATGCAGTGAGAAGGGTATTGGAAATGTCAGAGGAAGACAGTGGAGATGAGACAGGAAGACTGAGATGGTTTGAACATCTAACAAGTGA